TGGCCCCGGGCCACGGCAGCAGCCCGCACTCCCGGCGGCAGGGGTCCAGCCGTGCTGCCCTCCCCTCCCCACCCCACGCCCCCCTGGCTGCTGGCCCCGGCTCCCCTGGCCTCCTGCCCGGGTCCCGCCGTGCCGTGCCCAGCGTGGGGGCTCGTGCCGGGTCCGTGCGTGCCAGGAGCGCCCGGGGCGTTGGGTCTGAGTGCAGCCCTCTGTCCCACCAGTCCATCCGCCGCCTGATGGAGGCCGAGAAGGTGAAGGGCTTCTGCCAGGTCGTGATCTCCTCCAACCTGCGCGACGGCATGTCCCACCTCATCCAGTCCAGTGGGCTGGGGGGGCTGCAGCACAACGCGGTGCTGGTGGGCTGGCCGCGCAGCTGGCGCCAGAAGGAGGACCACCAGACCTGGAGGAACTTCATCGGTGAGCGCTGCCGGCAGGGGACGTGGCCCCGGGCCACACGTGGGCCTGCGGGCACGGAGCCCCCAAGGTGTGCCCGGGAGCCCTGGGGCAACGCAGGTGGAGCTGTGCCCACGGGGGGGTCACGGGGTGCTCGTGGGTGCGGGGCAGGGTTTGTGCAGCCCAGCTCCATGCCAGGGCCCATACTCTGCTTGCTGTCAGCAAGGGAGAGCCCGGCAGGCAGCTCCTGGCCCCCCCAAGCCCTCACACGGGCCAAAATCTACCTGGGAGCTGGGGCTGCGGGGAGGAGATGCCCGGCCCACGGGCAGTGCGGGGGCAAGCCTCCCCAGGAGGTGCTTCCAGCATGGGTTGGGAATGGACAGTGTATGCACACACCCACACACATCCTACACACACGCACACAGCTCCCTGCACGCACACATGCACTTGTCCCACACACAGCACCATCCACATGCACATGCCCCCCCCACACATACATGCAGCATGCACATGCACACAGCCATGCCCTGCGTGCGCGCGCACACACACACACACAGAGTTCCCTGCACATGCCCATGGTCCACACATGCACAGCACCACGGATGCACATATGCACACCACCCCACACACAGAACTCCCTGCATACACCCCCACCCCCTGCCCCCCAGGCATATGTCCAGCTCCCCCCACATGCCCTGCACGTGCAAACAGCCCCGTGATGCACAGGCACACACTCATGCCTTGCACACAGCTGCACACATGCAAAGCAGTAAGTGCCCCAGCGCCTGCACCCCTCAGGGTCCTGTCCTGGGCTGGCAGGACCCCACAGCAGCTGGACATGGGGCAGTGCCCAGGGCCAGCGCTGCGGGCCCGGGGGGGCGTGCAAAGCTGGGGGCTGGGCACATCCCCGGGGGCAGTCGTGCCTGTGCCGGGCTGAATCACCCTGTCCCTCCCCGGCAGAGCTGGTGCGGGAGACCACGGCCGCGCACCTGGCACTGCTGGTCACCAAGAACGTGGCCATGTTCCCGGGGAACCAGGAGCGCTTCGCCGAGGGCCACATCGACGTCTGGTGGATCGTGCACGACGGTGGCATGCTGATGCTGCTGCCCTTCCTGCTGCGGCACCACAAGGTACCGCTGCCTGCCGCCAGCTGGGGCGGGGCGCGGGCAATGCCCCAGTTTGCCCTTGGTGCTGCTTTGTGGCCGGGAGCCTTGACTCCCCCAGCCCAAATCTCTGGGCTGCTTTTGGAAGGGGGGGCTGCCCCCACTCTTGTCCTGCAGGCTGGTACTGGGTTCCCATGCCCCCTGCCCCCACCCCCAAGTGTCCAACCTGAATTTTTTCAGAGACGGGGGTGTGTGTGTGGTGGGGTGGGAGGTCCTCATCCCCTCTGTGCAGCACCCCCTGGCCTCCTGACTGGATTGGGCAGCGACCCAGTCCTGCCTTTGCTTCCAGACTGGTTGCGGGGGCGTCCTGTATCCCGGCGCTCCCTCCACAACCCTAACCCCCCACCCCGGGGCTCCTGGCTGGTCCTGCCCCCCACCCCGCTCCGGCCCTGCCTGCCCCAGTGCTGGGGCGGCCCCTGCGACCCCGCTGCCACCG